CAAATATGAATACTTTTTGCGAATTTGGTATTTGTGTTGGCATACCAAGAGCTTCTGTATGGAGAATAATTGAAAGAACTAGTGTTTAGCTTATATCAATTGCAAAATTTCCGTTCGTGATTGACAGCACACATGTTAAAATAAATGCACCTCACCTTAGCAATTAGGCTTATTTCAAAAGGAAGCATGAATATAGCTTAAACTTGCAAGCAGTTTTCAATGGTTTTTTTTAAACGTGTATGTTGGAGAGCCTGTTTCGTTATGTATTGTTCTGTTTTAATTAAATAAATGTATTCAACTTAATGTTTATATATTCATTTCAAATTAATTGATTTTCATAAATTATCAAACACTTTTTTAATAATAATAAAACGTAAATAATTAAAGTAATAATTTTAATTAATTTTAATAATTTTAATTTATAGTAATAGTAATAATTAAAACATTACTTCAAACAAAGAAATAAATAATAATGACATATGAAATAAATAAGTACATAAAATAAATAATAAATAAATAAAATCAATAATAAATAAATATAAATTTAGATTTGTTTATAATTTTACTACACCGTTGCATCGCATTGCCAACCTCATTTGCATTAAAATACGTTCCACTTTTATCTTTTACATACATTCCACATTGAAAGTGAACCAGATCAATTGCTGGTTCACCCCATTGTTTTTGTTTTGCATGTAAAATTGAGCGGATCATGTTTGCTGAAACACAGCTATTATATATTAAATATACTATATTATTTATACATATATGTTAATATATTATATTATTTATATATATATATAACATATTATATATAATAGAAAAATATAAATCGAAAATTTATTTCGTTTGTTTTTTATCTGGAAATAAAATATGATTTTCTTATAGCGAATAATTATTTTATTTAATTATTGCCTATTCAAGTCCAATACCTTTTACTACCTTTCTGGCAGTACAAAATACAATTAAAACCTCTGTTTGTAAAAAACGAAATTACTTTCCCAATAATCTTTTATTAATAATTTTTATTAAAGATTTTTTAAAGTGTTTTCGAATAAACACATAAAAAGGTTTAATTTAAAAATTATTTTGTTGAACACATAAATACATATTTTTTTACGAGTAACACAATAAAAAAACAACAAAATTAAAATATATTCGGAATAAAATTAAATATAAAAAATACATTATAAAATAACAGTGTAAATATTGATATCGACCTAAATAGTTTATATATATTTGTTTTGTCGGGTTTTAGGATGTTTTAAAAAATGTTTATATATTTATTTTATTTTTCTAATTTCATATAATATGAAATAAATAAAACATTTATTATATTAATACAAATATTCGTAAAATATACTTCGCAGATCATCCCCAGTGCTAGGAATTAAGAATTAAAACAAGTGTTTTATTTATTTAATATTATTCAAAAATTAAAAAAATAAAAGTATTTATTATATAAACTTTAAAAATACATTCTTTATAAAGATATATATTATATAAATTATTATTTCATAACAATACAGTTCATTTCATTTATTTATAAAATTAAAAGTTAACAGAGTAAGATTAAATACATAAAACAGAATTAATAAATACATACAGACTGTTCCGTAAATAAATTATAAAAATAAAAATAATTTTTAAATCTAATTTTTTATTTAATACAAACGTTTTACAGAATAAAGGTTACTCACCGATTTTTAGGCACACTGAACCAATATTCAGGTCTCAACTTATTTTTGCCGTACGACATAACAGATGTCGGTAGCGGTATTGCTTTGCCAATGGGTTTACCCATGCGTAAGCGTAAATACAAAGGTGGGTCTGGACAAGCACGAGCTGGTCGTGGTATCAATTCTAAAGTAAGAAAAGATATATAATTAGTATAATATATTATAAAGGTTTTTTATTTTTATAAATAAATTTGTGGAAATAAATGGTTGTAAAATATGGAACAATTACATGCTATGTACAATAATAACAATTTGTAGATATTTTGTTTAGAAATGAACATATTTTACAGTACAATTCGAAAGAATCCTAGAAAAAGTAATTAAGATGGGACAATAGAATACAAGTAGTGAAAGCTGAATAGAAATCGATATAAAACTGAAGTAGTAGTTATTGAAAAGTTAGAATTAGAAAGATTGACTAGAATTGAAGCAGAGCAATGAAGAATTAAAAAATTAAAAATAAATTAGCAGTCATAAAAAGGTAGTAATTCGTAAAATCTTAAAAACATCTTAAATAGTAGTAAATAAATTATTTCAATAACGTAGCAGTTGTAGTAATAGGGAAATAGTAATAAATTGGGTTATATTTAATCATACTAGTAATAAAGAATAGAATAACAGTAGACGGGTATTTAAAAGTGGGAAGCAAAATTATATTATTGAAATATTTATAGTGTTAATGTATATAGATTAATAATCAAGAAATCGCAAAAGTGTGCAATTAGAATGAAAGATCACTACTTATATTTTATTTTATTGCAATATAAAGAATATGCAATGTACTCATCAAACATAAAATAAAAAATTGTATATCTATAAAGATAATAATCAATAACAAAAATGAATAATCAAAAATTTGATCAAATGCCAGTTATTATTAATAAATAAATATATTAAATTTAGTACTTTAAAATCTTTATGTACTTAAATAACAAAAAAAGTTTTGTTGACCTCGACGCATAATCTTTACAAGTTATTTTATTAATCAATTAATTATTAATTCGAATCTCCAGGCAAAGAGGATTAAGTAGAAAAGGTAACACTTGCACTAAATAGTTTTATCATATCATAATGAATTAGATTATAACAATTTGTATAGCTTTCAATGCTTTCTTCACAGTGTTATAAAAAACTAATTTAACAGAATATACTACAATTTAGACTGGATTAGAAGCTCATCAGTTTTTATGAAGTGTAAAACAAGAGTATAAGAGTTAACGAAAAGAAAAGTGAACCGCAAGGAGCTAGTTTAATGAGAATTTTGAAAAGGTAGGTATAAAATGGTAAAAAAGGATGGAAGAGGTGAGTGAAAATTACCTTATTGGAAAGGCGCAATCAATGATTTCGTATCGACACAATTCAATAGATGAATGATATCATATAGAGTAAAATCGGAGTTAATCTGTATGATAGGGTTGTTTCCTCTTCTCGCGTGTTTTTATTTTTATTACAACAATTCGCAACAAGATAATTATTTATGGGAGAACTTTATAAACTAACAACCCATTAAATAAACTTTTATTAATGAAATATGGTATATTTGGATATATTTTTTTCAAAAACTATAAGCTTTTAAATTTGGTGTATAACATATATGACAATAAAAACAAGATATATGAAAATACATCTATTATAATACTGTTAGCATTTATTATGCTGTAAAATATAGTAAAAATAAAAAACGGGGTCAATAGTAAAGACAGGACGATATATACAAGGAATACAATATACAATAGTGATTTATATAAAAATTGTATATCTTTTATTACAGTTAATTGCTGTAATATGAGTCAATATTAATCTTCGTTTTAAATTTGATACACTTCGATGTCTGGTACTTGCAGTTTAAGAATTATAGAAACAGCTACAATTATTATGTGATCATCACAAATATTTACTTATTAAAAATAAATACAATAACTGTAGTAATATATTTTTGTACTATGAACTACCCACAGTTATATTTGATAATAAATATTTTTAAAACTTAATTCAGTATTTAATTAAATCTTTATATGGAAATTCATTCTGGTCATCAATGTCCTAAATTTAGTAACAATAAAGAGAAGGATCGTTATAAATAGATATATTTTATTAATACTCTCCAATTGATGGTTGATATATCTTAATTGTATATAAATATTTATTATTATATGAAAGTAACGAAATAATAAATAATTAAATATACATTTCTCTAACACAATGTTTTGTTAATATAAGAGTTATATGTAATGAAATGTTAAAATTTTATAATTAAGTTTTAAATAAATAAATCAACGGTTAATTGTTTGTTTCATGAGCTACTTGTTATAACTCCAAGTAACTGGGAGTACATAAAAGTTAGGCGCATTCCTGAGAGATCGTCACATCCCTGTCAACATTTTCTGTCTTGTAAAATTTTAAATTCAAGTTTTACTAGGAGTAGCTCGTGAAATAGTTCTGATTTTTTCAACTCGATTTAGAAACACAATAGTTATTTATTAATTAATATTAAAAAAAATTACTTAAATTAAAATATAAAATGTTTTCAATGTATATAGATTAAAATAATACATAATACTTTTATTATAAAACTTTTATAAAAAAAGTAAAATTGTCTATTTAAATATATCAAATATATTTTCAAATTTTGTTTGTTTATAATATATATAAAGTTTCTTATTAAAAAATTGTCGTTTTTTTAATTATATTTATTATAACTTTCTTAAAAATTTTATATTTGTAAATAATAACGAAGCATAAGTGGATTTTATATATATGTGCATATATTATATACAGAGAGTTGGCGGGTTAACTTATTTACAGTAAATTATATACATGTTGTATATTAGTTTATATATATATAAAATTTATTAAAGAAGATATCTTGCTTTCACATACCAACTATATCTAAATATGGAAAATGTGGTGCCCGTACTAAATAGCAACATACGAGTATGAGATGAGTGAATTACATTACGGAAATATGTGAAACATGACGTTTTGAGTTTTTGTTAAAAATTAGTTTAAAAAAAATTATAGAAACAAATGTTAATTTACTAGAGAAAACTAGAGAATATATATCAAAGAGCAAAGAAAATATTATATATATAATTATTTTTAAGAAAATATTATCATTTTCTGTTTTTTCTTATAATAACTTGAAAAAAACTTTTAATTTTAATATATAACAGTTGTATGCTCAATATTTTTAATATAGCATATTATGCATCAAAGTATTTATGTACATATAAATTCATTCTATACTTCCAATGTCAGAACTTTTAAAATAGAGAGATACCTTACTAATTCAAAGAATATTAGGTTAGATCTTTAAAAAACTCATAACACTAAATTCCATTAAATTTTATTATAAAATTTATTTTTTCAATAATTGGTAGCTATAATAAATTCATTATTTTCATTTGTTAAAATCAATAATTATTAATATAATAGCTTATAAATTAAATTTAACCAATTTCGAATCAAAAAAAAAATTATTTAAGTGCAATACTAATGTTTTAAAAGATATGTTTTTAAAATAAATAAATTGTTAGCAAGTTTATTCAGTTTTTTCTTCTACATTGTACTTATAAGTATATTAGATACTTATATTTCTTATATATTTCATATATTGACTATGCGACCGACTGTTTTTCTTTGCTTTTTGATTGAAATTTTTATTTAAGAAAATTCTTGAAATACATTAAATAAAAGAGATATGTAAAAAACTAAATTTTGATTAAAACAAACTTCACTTACTATCAACACTGATGAATAGTTCAGGTTTATCATCAACAGACACCATAGACCGATAATCCAATTTTGGTTGCTGTTTCACATCTTTTAGCTTAGTTGTGGATGCAGTGCCCTCCGATGAATGTGGACGCATAAATGTACCAATTGATGAGCGTCTATTTTATTAAAAAATATAAATATTATTAATATTTTATAATAACTGTTTATAAAATAATAGTAGCTAATACAATAAAAGGAGCACTTAGCTAATAGCTTTTTACACATTAAACACAAATCTTTTGGCAAAAAGCCTATAAAAATTGCAAACAATTGTTCGAACAATTTGGGTGTACAATAGCAAAAATTTATTTAAAAACAATATTTTATAATTTATTAATTATAAATTGTGCACTATAGAAAATTTAGAAAACATATAAAAGGTGTTTAATAATATATATGTGAAACTTATGTACACAATTAAGAATTAATTGCAAAACTAACTTTGGTTTTTAAAAAAATTTATCACTTTTTATTTATTAATTATTAATGAAGAGGTTTTTTCGAACAGTAATGAATTATTAATGTTTATATTATAGTTCTATTATTTATTTTTTTTTTAAATAAAGTTTTTAACAATAAAAACATATTATACCAAGCTTTTTCAACTGATTTTTTTTTTAAATCATATTTTATGTGTTATTGTAAAATTTCTGAGTTTTAAGTGCTTTTAGCTGACGTTTTGGCTGTTCTTTATGTAATTTTTGTTTTTAGTGCTAGTAGTAGGCACTTTCGATATCTCACTTCCTTGCTTTCATTTTGTAGGATCTTTATTTGGTATTTTGGTTGCTGTTTATTGTAATGCTACCAATATTAGGAATTTTCCTGATGAAGTGAAAAGCGAATTTGGCGAAATACGTATAGATATACTAAAAATAACTCTCGAAATAAAACTTAAATTGCTTAAAAAAACAAAACCAACTTTAATCAAAACATGTTCTATGCAATTTCCCAGCGGCGGTAAGACGTAGACTAGACTACCTTGGTCCTAAATCAAATAGATAAAATTATGCTAACAGCAATTATGAAATTTATAAATAGTCTAGAATTGTTTAGTTGGGAATTTAGGTGCACAATAGATCTTTTAGGTCGCGTTGCATTCATAGCCTATTACAAAATATTCATAATATAATATATTTATTAATTGAAATCATCAATTATTTGAAAAATAAAATTGCTTGAAGGATATTAACCTTTACTCTATAGAAATGAATGCTAAGTTTATTTATAAAATTATTCATTGTTACATTTTAATGCATTTTAAAATCATATTAGTGGAAATGTAGGGAAATTTATGCTTTATTAGAAAATAAGAGATATTATTGATTCATTTTAATTAAGTAATATTTAATAACCAAAATTATTTTTGCAACGATCTCAATAATTTTTTAATACTATTGGAGTATTTTCTTTTACACTTTTAGCACTTAACAAACTAATAGAATATATTATAATAATACTCAGTCAATCTATCTTAGATTTTTACGAATAATAATTAAACTTAAAAAGTGCTTCAAATAAAGAACTTTTACACTTAAAGGAACCATTTTTAGTATATACAATGTTGGTTTGGATATATCGCGCATTTACATACATTTAATAACAATTATTTAAAACTAATTTTAATACATTTAAAAACATTTAAAATATTACTTTTTTTACTAAATAAAAAGTTTTAAATAAATACTTTTTACATGATAAAAAAAAATAAATAACACTAAATTTACATTTTTTGTTTTTGTTGTCATTAACAAAACCCTTACCCAACAGAAACATGACCCTCGGAATGAGTTGAATGCGGAGTCAAGGGTGGCACTGGTGAGCCACCAGAGTCTTCGGACGGTGTTTTCGAAAATAAATTCCCACCCAACTCTGATACCAGTGTTATTGGTGAACTATTTGAGTTTTTAAGTGTTTGGTTTTATAAAATAATTGTGAGTTATGAGTGAGTTTGTGTTCACATACAAATAAAAATATTGGTTTTGTTTAATTGTTGTTAAAATTGAAATTGAAAGTTGTTTTCGAAACAATAAATTGTTGGGTAATATGTTTAATATAAATATTTGTGTTTGTTGAATTTTTGGTACAAAATATAATTTTTTTTTATTGGTTGACAAATTCCATGAAGTGAGCATTTCATTACAAAAAAATAAATAAATAAAATTAATTTGGTGGAAAGAAAAATATATATAACCAATTATTCGCCAAATTAAAGTATATGTCTTATAATTATAAATAATATTATATTTAATCATTATTCGCTAATCGAAATTACATTGACACACGCAGTCTTACCTAGAAAATACTTTCGAAAATACGCTTTGACTCGAATCTCCAGTATTTGGAGCTGAATCAGTGTCCGCTGACCTGCCAATATTACCAGTGCCAGGAGGTGCAGTTGCATCGCCAGTGAGACCTTCTACCCATGTTAAAGGATATGATAGGCGTTTTAACATCTAAAAAAAAATTTAAACAATTTAATATATAGAAATTTTGATATTTTGACAGTAAATAATATATTCGAACCTTATTTTTCTTATCTGCTGAGTTTTTATCACTTTGCGCATTTATTGGTTGTTCTCCATTGTTATCATCTACACTAAAACTAACACTTGAGGTTTTCTTGCGTGTACCTCCAGCACCACTACCAATGCTAGCATCGAGACTATGTCCAGTAATTGAACTGCGTGGCGGTGATTCACTTACAAATGTGGGTGAAATTGTTTTCGGTGGTACCCAATCGGAGCTTAATACAATATCTGCATCGCTATATACAGTTTTCTTTGGTATTGGTTGTATATTTGGTATTGGTTCGCGTATATCAATGCCTGAATCGTAGCATGATTGTTTGGATAATTGCTCCAAATGTTCGAGGTCAATTGCTGCTATACCACCGGCTAGATTGCCAAGTATACCACTTATTGATGATGTGGCCGAGTGTGGATCCTGTCCTCGTGCACCACTATCAATTGTTGTGTTCGATTCGTTGTCACCTTCATCTTCAGATGATCTTCGAGAATTAGATAAACATAATCTATATATATATATATGTTTTGTGGCATTTTTGCAAAATGAGTTTATGAGGAGGCATATAAGTGCGAGTCAGACGATATACAATTTAATGGCCAATTGGGAGTACATATTTGATTGTGGTTTAATTTTTTTATTATTGATTTTTTTTAAGTAAACATACATAAACGTTCCCAAGTTCATTAAACAAATTTGTTGATGTTTTCATTTTGTATGAAAAATTATACAAAAACCATAGAAAAATAAAAAAAGAAAATAATTATTAACAATTTGATATATAAAATAAATTATATACATATTTGCAAATTTCTATGCAATATCTTACATGCTTGTTAGTTAGCTTACGGTAGTTTAAGTCTACTGAAAATGTTTCAATATCAAAACCAGAACATTTTTTTAAATTACAAGATTCACTAATAAGTCATTAGGATTCAATCAAAATTAATTATAAAATGTGGAAAGTGACATCATATTCGCTCTGCGAGTATCCCGTCTATGTCTACCGCATGTTTGCGTTTGTAGCGTCACATCTCAGTGCGCTACATAAGTTATCTTAGAGCAAAGTTTGAAACTTTGTTGACTGCTTGAAATTATTTTCCAAACCACGGTAATAAAGAGTGTTTAACGGGCAGTTTCTATAAGTGGATCGCTTCTAAACCTAACTTTGATTAATAGTGATATGATGTGAGAGTTAGCGTGATAATTATGCTATTATTGTGTATAACGATTCTTTACATCCAAGTAGTAGATAGTATAATAAATAAGCACTCTGAACAGATTAATTGCTAGAGTGTAGAACGGTATTAAAAATGTTCTGGAACTACATACATGAACAGTATAAGTGTCCTTTTGTTCTAGTATATTTTAAATAAATTATTATTTTAAACCGTTTCTTAAATCAAATATTAGTATCTTAGTATCATAGTAATTACAGTTTTTAGACGTGGAATTGATGGTATAACACAAAACATTTTTAATAATTTTAGTGCAAGTATTTTAATTTTTTATGATTAAGATTAGAAGCTATGTTTAATTATTGGAATTTTTATATTAAAACTTATTATAATGTATTTTAATATATCTAAATAATATTAGAATGAATGGGTGAAAAGCATTATTTTTCTTGAAACATGAAACAGATATGAAACAGTAGAAGTTAAGTGTTTTCAAATAAATTTAGTTTTCATCACGCTATTTAAAAGATTTTGAATTAATACGCATTAGGATAAATGTTTCCTTATCGCCTCGTATAGTTGCTACTAACTTCTATGCCTGTTTTTTTCATTGAATGAAATTCCTTTTAATTTGTTGGATTTCTCGACTATACCAGCAATACCAGGAATTGGTGTTCCAGAAATTAAAAACTACTTATGGCGATGTTTTTTGTAGATTACACTTGAAACTCTTGATCACCAGTCATTTTAAATTTTAACTGTTTATAACTCAAAATAAATAACTGTTATTATCAAATGGGCTTGTAAGAACACTATTCTACAGTTATACAGCTGTACTTATTATATAAGAAATATTTTTTGTTATATATCAAATAAGAAATTCTCTGATTGAAGATGATAACTGAATATAGTTTAAAAAATAGTAGATCTTTTAAAACAGCTATTGAAGTGAATTTTAAATATACAAGTATGTATTTCTAAACAGTTTGTCTTATGTCAATACAAGAATTCGACTTAAGGAAGATTATTTATAAGACACTGAAAGTTGGAATCGTTTTTAAAAACTTCTACTGGCAATGATTTTTAGGTTTATAAATTTCAATCAAAAAATATATATGAATAAAAATGAAATACTAAATATATATAATGTAGGTGAAAAAACAAATGTATATAATTTTAACTAAAAAGGACATATATGCTTAACGTATGTTAAATTATATTTGTGAGGATTATATTATGGTAGAAATAATACTAAATAAAGCATTTTTAACATAACAAAAACAAAAAATCTCAGCATGCAAAACATAACAACTTAAATAAAAAAACTTGTTAGACCGTCAGAGTGTACCTATCTTTGCTTGGTATAGCCCAATGATGATCTAAAAGACTTTTACGCCTTTCTTCTAAAGTAGTGCGTGTGTCTGTGAAACTCAGATTTTTCTTTTCATCATCGGCGGTGTTATTTTCGCCATCAGTCTTTGCACTATCTTTGGCTGCTGTACTTTTATCCTGATCCTATTATATAGAGAAAAAATATTTAAGTTAATATAGATATTAAATAATTTTACAAGCTTACATCAATACGCTCACGTTCAAAAGCTTTGGGAAATGCATCACCATCACGGCCAGAGCCAGAGCAAAGGGATTCTTGATCATCACAAGTTTCCATTGAACCAACTTCAACTATATGAGTAAGATTAAAAAATTTAAAAAATAAAGTATTACAAATGTTTTTTGTTTGTGAACGCACCATCTAAACGACTTTTAGCTGCACCATCTTCAGGTTCAGCCTCAGCGGCTGCCTCAACTTCAGCACTGGCTTCCTCCTTAGCCTTTTGCGCATCTAATACTGCTTGCGGATAATAAATTTCAACCTTTTCATTTTGATTAGAATCAACACCACCAGAAACACGCATATGTGCAATGTCATGAAATATGGCCGCATTAACAACTAACTCCATGGGTGCTATAACGCCGTAACTCTCTGGTCCATGTTCGATAACAAGTGCATCTGATACATTTGGATCGAACATTACAGCATTTGGTGTGACTAACAGCACGCCACCGACCACACCCTGTCCATCTGTGATATGGCGTACGTTAATCTTGAGAAAACGTTGTGTTATGATAGGATCATCCGTCTTGTCGGGATTTTTAGCAACATCAATACGTTCGATATGACCAGGCTTTGGTGACCCTGGTCGTAGACCTTCAAGTAAATCTATAAAAATAGAAATGAAAATGCATTTAATAATGTTTATCAGACTGATATGGGTTAATGACGTCAAAATAAAAATGTTCATAAAAATGATTCCGTTAGTAGCAATTTGGGCATAGCTTTTATTGGTCTATCTATGCACCTGACAATTCGAATTTTATTTATTTACCGCTTTAAGTTTTTGTTTTTAGATTTTTTTTAGGTGTTTGATAAGATAAAACTTAACTGCGTTATCTGATAACGATTTTTTTTAACATAAAGTTTTTGGTGAAAGTTTAGTCAATTTGACACATTTTTGAAGTCACAATTATTAATTATTTTAGTTTTTCCGATGTAATCGTTATATTTTGACCAATTTGGAAAGAATTAAACACTTGATAGAGAGCATTTTTTGTTGTTGGATTTAGCTGTTAAATAACTATATTTATCTAATATTAAGATTAGTTTCTACTCAATTATGAGTAGAAAAATTTGATATTTTAATACTTAACTTAGTAATATTGCCTCTCATTAAAAAATAGTGAACTTTATGTATTATGACTATATTTAGACGTAAGTTAGATATGATTATAAGCCAATTGAATCCACTTTTTAAGTCAGTTGTAAGCTTAAGTAGTCAATAAATCTATTGATTAATGTCGTTATAATTTTATATTACAGTATATTTTATGATATTATGCATGTACTATTTAACATTAATATCCACGTAATAACGAATCGCAGATAATTAGTAGATGACATTATGGTCTGGATAACATCTAAAGCAGATATTACCCCTGTTAATAAGGAAAAGAAGAAATGTTGGTAGACATCATTTATAACTGGTTTTTGGTCTATTTCGGAACAGGTGGCAGACTGAGAATTGGTCGTAATATTTACTGTCACAGATAAAACCAGCTTGAAAAGGAACGAAGATTTTCTTCTATTTTCTTTAAGTGTGTTGATCCTTTTTTTCGAGTCAGCGCAACTGGGCACTTTTACTCTTTGATAGCTGGGGGTACTACAGGGTCCCACCCATCTCATTGACTAATTTATGTATTGCCTATAAGCTTCACGATTATTTAGTGATTGATCTAGGATCTGCGTACCTCCCCGTGCGGAGAGTGATTACTCTAATATTAGATAGTGGTAAGTAGCATAGCCTGTTAATTTTCGCATATAACTTCAGGGCTCTGTCCCTTATGTATTTTTTAATCGGGTCTATTCTAAGGTCTCTTAGCATGTCGTTTGTGGGGATGTACCAAGGCATTCCATTTTAGTAAAAACTCTACTTAACAATCTAGTTAAGCTAACATTGACGACCTATAAAGGTTATTGATTTGCGTGGATTTATGCAAGTACCTGTTTACATATAGACAAAAGTGTGAATTGCACCTACTACTGAAACCAACAAACCAATTAAATATTTTGGTAATAAGATAAATATATATTATGGTATGTTTTATATAATGATAAATTTCTTTTCCGAATATACAGTAATTTATTGTACTGTTGAACAAAACTGTCGTTGTAAAACCTTTTTTGTATTTTGTATTGGGAAGTTTTATTACACATTTTTTTGATGTCACTTTAATCTTAAAGGCAGGAACTATGTTTGGTGGAATTTCTCATATAATAAAAATTTATATTTTCAATTTTTGAAATTATTGTATTTATGTTTTCAATATTAGTTGAAACGCAATTAGAGTATAATTTTTTATTTATATATTTTTTTTTTGGTTCATCACTTGTATTTATTTATTTAATTATTTATTTTTTTTAAGATTACTTACACATTTAAGGTATATATATATCACAATACCTAATAGAAAAACAGGTTAAGATAACATTATTTGCATATTCTGCACCTGTACAATCAATAAATTATTTTAAGCCAAATGTGGGTTTTGTAAAGTCTATAAACCAGAAGAAGCTTATAAACTGTATACAATGACAAAATTTTTTTAACAAATATTCAATATCATTTTGAAAATAATTAAAAATATGAAAAACTATATGATAAAAAAATCAAATAATAAAAAAGAAATTGAATACCTGTAAAAGTAATTAAAATGCGTTAAAAAAAATATTATCTGAAATCGTGACTAAACCTAAAGTTAAGGTATTAAACTTTTTTGAGATGTTTTGTTTTCAAAATAATCAATTAATAGTTTGATAAGCGTATGTAACTTATAATATATCATAATTCAACAATGATTATAATTATTTAACATAACAACACTTCTTCAATTATTATAATATTTGGGGTTAGTTAGGATTCTAATTTCATTTATGTAAAAAGAAGTACTATTTAGGCTAACATATGTCATCTATTGTAATGCCATTTTAAAAATGTTAATTAATCTACTACGAGGTGTTAAAGAAGTGCAAGCTTTTAATAAAACTTAAAACTTTACTTATAGAGACATTTTGTAGTTTATTGGTCATAGGTGTCAGACAACTGCAGCGAGTCGTACACTCAGAGTACACTCATAAAAAAACAAGTATAAATGCATATAAATGTTTTCCTCATACACTATTTATACGCTAACGCAAGTTAATCAAAGATACACCTATAGTAAATCGGTTAATTAATTTTTATCTTAAATCGTGCAGTGACTTTTTAGTATTCCTATAACTAGTTCCCGAGGAACTAGTAATTAACATATTCCCGAGTGTTAATATTAGGTTTATAAAATGTACCAAGAATATGAAATTTAGGAGAACTTGTTCTTTCATGTATATTAGGTATTCCTTCCATTTTCCTCATGGATACAGGAGAGTTTACGAGTTGAATATTTGAAAGGAGAGTTTATCAGTATTTACAGACATATCGAACATAATCAGAGGTTTCAAATGACTAGTTAATATGCTTTAAAAAACAGTAGCTCAGCTTTCTCACCAACGTATTAGGAAATGCCTGAGAGTTTAATAGCGTGCTTTCAAATTTTCTTGACTTTCCGATTTAATAACATGCTTCACAGAGTAATTTCTGACTTTAGTTTCCCAAATAGCAACATCATAAACATTAAAAATACGGCAATAGTTCCAAGGTCCAAAATGTTATTTTAGTTTTTTAATTAATACATAAGTGTAAAGAAACCACTAAGTACTAAAACTTTGAGGTACGGATTCCAACTCTTTCGGAGAACTCAAAACGCTTTTATGAAAGTGTTAATTTTAATTAAAACTGTAATTGCAAAATCAGTTAAAATAAACAAACTAGTTCACGGAACGCACTTATAAGTTTTGTCTATGTTTAATGATAATTCATTAATAACAATTAGAATTTTAATTAAAACTGAATCACAACTACTCATTTTGTCATCTTACTCATTTACTCATTTCTTCTTCTTAATTTTGATATTTTTATATAAAATAAGTTTTATAATTACATGCCCTCTGTTAATTGTAGAACGAATTCAAGAGATGATGGATATAGAATAGTGCTTGACTAATCTCATATATGTAGAACTAAATTAAATGGTTCATAAAAGTATATACATTTGATATTAAATTTAAGATCAGGTAGGAATTGAAACGAAAAATAGAACATTGTATATATGCTACATATATATAGTATTACGAATAGTAGATTTTATCTTAAGGTAAAATCATTGACTGATTGACTGTAGTACAGATTTCATTGATTTAATTAGTTCATTTGAATGATTTATATTGTTCATAAGGAAAATATATTTACAATCATCTTATATAATTATTATCTTATCTTTTTATTTCTATATAAGAATACAAGTAATTTTTTGTGTGTATTGTTATAGATTAATTAGTATAATTTTTATTTGCATTAAAAAGATGTAATAAATAAATATTTATGTAAAATTAATAAGGTTTTAAAAATATTTTGCCATAATTTTATTGACAAAATGTAAATAAAGAAAAAATAATTTCTTCAATCAAATAATATATATTTTATCTATAGAATTACATATGCTAAATGTTATCTTTGTATAATAATTTTTAATGTTTTCTGTTTATCAACAATTTCATGTTGATGAAATGAAATGAACCGGTTAAAAAGTTTCAATAATTTTAATTACTTTATTGAAAAATATTCATATATTTATGAAAACAAATGATCGACAAACACCCATCATCTGCAATTAAATTTAGCTTTGAATATGATAGTAATTAATACAGTGGAACAAATCAATATAAACCGATAATATAATTTTGTTTAAACTTTGCTTCGAAGCTTAAATATATTATCTGTAAATTTTTGTATTTTATTGTAAACATAAAGCTTTTAATCAAGACTTTTGAAAGGAGGTGCAATATAGGACTTTTCCTTAACAGTTCTATGGAGTGCACATACCTATGTTAATTTAAAATGTCAAGTAGTTATTAGTAATTAATATCTTTGTTTAGAATTACAAACAAAATAAAATTATATTAGTTTAGATACAAACTCAAATGACAACTATAAATAATAGGGAAGAAAGTGAGTTAAGATTTTGAAAAAAGTTTTTATTTACATTATATAATTTGAATTTATCTGATTCATACCTATATCTGTAGAATATTAATTATCGAAATATATAGATTGGATATTAAAAAAGATGTTTGTGTTTAGATATATTATTAATAACAATAAATCTGAGAGCAGGTTTTAAGCTAAAGGCAATTAAAAATGCGTTCTTGAACATATAATACAAATTGTTATTAAATCAAAAGCTATCAGACATTACTTATTTAATCGTTTTTCATTATTAGACATTTCACGCGAAAATGTGTAAGATTGAGATTGTAAATTGGTTCAGGATGAAGATAGTAGATATGAAACATGCAACGACAGTCGCTTGAACCAACTGCAATATTAGTATTGGTTTTTTGAACTCAGTTAATACATTGTATATTATATACAATTTAATATTATTGTTATAAATATATTTAAATTATTTAATAATAAAAAATTAAAATTTAATAAACCCTAAGGTCAATATATCGCAAGAACAGATTTTAAAATTTCCAATGTATTAAATTTATTTTTAAAGTCCGTTTTG